AATTCGAATTGGGGTTTAGGGCATCCATTAATTTGGGGTGAGATTTGGGGGAGTTCAATTTGAGCCTGAGATTTTGACATCAAGTAGCGTTTATTTTTATTTTTTTTTAAGAAGGGAAAGACTTGTGCAATTTGAGCCTGAGATTTTGAGATCAGGAAGCGTTTTTTTTTTTTTTTTTTTTTTTTTTAAGAAGGGAAAGGCTTGTGCGGTTTTATGAGGTGGCGTCTTATTCTCTTTTCTTTTTTTGGTATGGAGTTAAGTGTCGCATAGAAATTTCATCATCTATGTCAGCTTCAAATGAAATGGAATATATTCGATAAGTGATGGAATGCAATAGTCTAAAGTTGAATGACCATTGAAAAACATCCTGAAGTTGAATAAGTCAGTCAGTGATATTACCCAAAGTTCATTGGTCACTCAAACGTTTAACTCATTTTTTCATTGTAGATAGCCCTTGTCTTGCGCCCCATTTTGAGAGAAAAAAGCATTTTTGAATAGTAATTTTTGAAAAATATATGGTTAAAAATTAAGAAATTTTTTTTGATTTTCGTAAAATATTATTTTATTAAATAATATGTGATTGAAAATGAACTTTCAAATAGCTGGGGGTTAGACTGTTTTGTTCTGGGCTTGGGCTGCAATGGTTTGGGACCGGGTTGGGGTTTTAGATGGGTAGGATTTGGTTATAATAGAAATGGGGCTGATTTAAGGGAAGTTTCGTAAAGCTTATAAAAAAAGTTTTATTAGAGTTTGATAAATTTTGATTAAATGAGAAATTTTGATAAAAATTGTGTATTTTATGAAATGTATAGTTAAAATTAATTTTTAATTTTACTCAAATTTAACAACTTTTCAAGCTATTCGAAATAAGTACAAAACTTCAAAAATCGAGCAATGAAGTGGCTGAGGCTTTGTTTTTTCAATGCAAAATAAATGGACATTTATGATGGGAGACGAGACGAAATTGAAGTCAACATTGTATTTTCATATAAAAATATATATATTTTAAGAAAAATTTCATATATAAGAGATTAATAATAACCATTTTAAATTTATAAATAGGGTTTAAAATTTCAGAAATCTAAAATTATTAAATTTTATTTATACAATAATTAATTATACATAGGTTTTTTTAATTAAATATATTAAGGTCACAACTCTTTAAGTTTCAGTCACAAACTATCGAATTAATTGGTTATAGATTATTTCACGATCACAAATCAAAAAACTTTGTAAGTCACATATTATTCATTGATCACAAATCGCAAATTTTGCAAGTCACAACTTACTTCATGATTATAAAATATCAAATTATTTGATCACAAATTATTTATCAACCGCAATTTAATAAAATGTAAGTTGCGATCACATATTTAGGTCACATATTATTTATTTGACACAAATTTACTAATTTATTGGTTACAATCAATCAAATAATTGATCACAAACACCCCATCCCACCCTACCCACTACCACAACCACTACTAGACCACCATTGCCATCGCCACAACCATCACCACCTCCATCGGTATTGTCACTGCCAAATCTAGCCCCACCAACTTTAGATCCACCATCAGCAGCTCTCGATCTACCACCACCACCGCTAGTAAAACCATCCTAACATCACCATACCATGGAAACAACCACTACCAAAAAACAAAAAATCAACCCAAAATTGGTGTGGCCGCCATCCTTCATGCCCAAAAATCATCCCAAAAAAATCTCAAATTCATGATAGTACAATGCTACTGCGAGCACGATGGCATAGCCCCTTCTGCACTGGTTCTAAGGTGGCCCTCACGTCGTCGACGAATGATGGGAGATCTGTGCACGGCTGCCCGCTTCAATGGAGGAAAGCAACGGTGCGAGTAGAGATAAGAGGTGGTACGAGGTTGCATCTTCTCGTGGATATGGTATCTCGAAATGCTATCTCGTGAGGTTACATTTTGCTGTCTCATGATGAGGGTGAGAATTTGCACCGTCGACAGAGAGGGAGGAGAGCAGTGTTGCCGGTAAAGGTTTATAGAGAGAGTGAGAAGAGAGAAGATGGAAAGAGGGAGAAGAGATTGGAAATGGTTTTTAGGGTTTGGGAAGAAATTGAATTGGGTTTATGGGATAGGTGGATGTTGTGGATTAGTTTAATTTTATAATATTATTATTAATATTTAAAATTTTATTTATATCTAGCTTTTGAAAAAAAAAAAAACACTTAGAGTGTTTGATTGACATGAAAAATATCTTCTAGAAAAAAAATATTTTCCTTGTTTTGAGGAAAATAAAAACCACCTCCACCCAAGGAAAATATTTTCCTTAAAAACAAGGAAAATTAGGCATATTTTCAAAAGTTGGAAAATGTTTTCCATGAAAAAAAATAGCAATCAAACACTTCAAGTAGGAATTTGGGTGAAAAATTGATATTTTCCATGGAAAATAAATGTAATCAAACACGCCCTTATAACTTTTAATAATGAATTGAGATCTTGAAATTACTTATTTCCTGTAATTTTCACTATATTTTGCCCTTTCACTTTTGATGTAGAATGTGATGTAGGTGGAGGCTAAAATTCACTATTCAAAGGGAAATATTTACCCTACTTTCTCATCTCAAACGTTCAAACAGGTCATTAATGTCTA